ATTACTTTGCACTGTTCATTCAGGAAGGCCTCCTTATCTCTCCTTGCTGTTCTCTGGAAATCTGCGTTCAGTTGGGTAAATCTTTCCTTTTAGCCTTTGCCTTTCGCTTTCCTTCTTTCCTCTTTACCTTCTTTCCTCTTTCCCATCTATACCTTGTGCCTAATAGCCACTGATGGACCTCTGCTCCAGATGCTTATCCAATTCCCTCTTATAAGAACATAAGAGAAGCCAGTGTCGGATCAGGCCAGTGGCCCATCCAGTCCAACACTCTGTATCACACAGTGGCCAGAAATACCAGTGCCATCAGGAGGTCCAGCAGTGGGGCCGGGACACTAGAAGCCCTCCCCCTGTTGCCCCCCCCCCCAAGCACCAAGAAGACAGAGCGTCCCTTGCCCCAGAGTCCCTATCTATACCTTGTGGCTTATAGCCACTGATGGACCTCTGCTCCATATGCTTATCTAATTCCCTCTTGAAGTTTGAACCCTCCCCAAATATCCAGGAATTTCCAACCCAGAGTTGGCAACTGCAGGTACTGACACTTTCCGACCGTGCGCACTGCACAGAGCACGACCCCTTGCAGCTCTAAGCTGCCCCCTTCCTTCATTGCTGTGCTCCCCCTTACTAGCCCCTTCGTACTCTTCTCCCCACGGAGACCCCTTCGAGTGCAGACTCAGTGCTCCCTCTAAGCGGCGGAGTCCTGTGAGCAAAAATCCTACTTTGCGAGCTACCGGCATTAAAGTTGCGAGCGAGCCATTGGGCTACTGCATGTGTTCGTTTCCTCTGGAGCCCCATCCCTTCCCGAGCTGAGACAACAATGCGTGGGCCGGAGGCTAAAAAACTGTGAGCTAGCTCACACTGACTCAGCTTAGAGGGAACACTGCCTGTGAGGTAGGTGAGGCCGAGAGAGCTCTCTCGAGAACTGCCCTTGAGAAAACAGCTCTGAGAGAACTTGTGACTGACCCAAGCTCACACCAGCAGCCAATGCTCCCTCTAAGCTGTGGAGTCCTGTGAGCCAAAATTCTACTCCGTGAGCTGCTGGCAATAAAAGTTGTGACCGAGCCATTTGGCTGCTGCAGAAATTAGTTTCCTCTGGAGTCCATCCCATCCTGAGCTGAGACAACAATGCGTGGGCCGGAGGCTAAAAAACTGCGCACTAGCTCACACTGACTCAGCTTAGAGGGAACACTGCCTGTGAGGTAGGTGAGGCCGAGAGAGCTCTCTCGAGGACTGCCCTTGAGAAAACAGCGCTGAGAGAACTTGTGACTGACCCAAGGTCACACCAGCAGCCAATGCTCCCTCTAAGCTGTGGAGTCCTGTGAGCCAAAATTCTACTCCGTGAGCTGCTGGCAATAAAAGTTGTGACCGAGCCATTTGGCTGCTGCAGAAATTAGTTTCCTCTGGAGCCCATCCCTCCCTGAGCTGAGACAACAATGTGTGAGCCGGAGGCTAAAAGACTTTGAGCTGGCTCACACTTAACTCAGCTTAGAGGGAACACTGGTGCACCCCCCCCAGCACCCCACTCACCTCTTCTCCTTTTTCTTCTTCCTCCTCCTTCAGTACCAGCCCCACTGGGGGACCCGAAGACCCCCCACCCGCCCCCCTAGAAACGGCTGCAATTTTCGCACCCTTTCAGTCCCAACGTCGAGAAATTAAAGCGCCGGCCGTAAAGCGTCCTAGCCGCCCTGCCGCCCGGCAGTGTCGCAAAAAGGGCTTTCCAGGAGCGGCGTGCTTTACGACAGCCCGGCCTGAAATGGAGGCGCGGGGAGGAGAAGAGCAGCGGCTAGAGCGGCCGCCTCTCTGGTCGGACCATAGAGTGGGGGAAAGGGAGGAGGCTGACTGTGGAAGATGGAGGACCGCCAACAGCGTCCCACCCCGTCGAGTTTTTAGTATTATTAGGGCTTTTCACAGCACTGACCAGTTTATTTAGCTGGTTTGGCCCAGCTTTGTTGGGGTTGCCAGTCTCCAGGTGGTGGCTGGAGATCTCCCGGCATCACAACTGGTGTCCGGGTTGGGTTTTTCCTGGAGAAAAGACCGGCTTTGGAAGGTGGACTTTGTAGCATTATACCCTGCCGGAGTCCCTTCCCTCCCCAAACTCCACCCTCCCAGGCTCCCCCTTCAAAATCTCCAGGAATTTCTCCATGTAGAGTTGGCAGCCGTAACTGGCTTCAGCGCAGTGCACTGCGTAGGGACGTTTGAGTTGGGAAACATGATGGGGGGAAATTCAAAAGAGAAAACAGAAAGCAGAAACACAGTGGTAAACACAGAAACATCTAAAAGGCTAATAAAATAAAATAAAATCAGAGATAGGGTCTGCAATAATGCAAAGTTTGAGTCCGGTGGCACCTTTAAGACCAAGAAAGCTTAATTCTGGGGATCAGCTTTCATGTGCAGGCACACTTCTATCAATGTATCTGAAGATGTGTGCATGCAAGTGGAAGCTTATCCCCAGAATAAAACTTTCTTGGTCTTAAAGGTGCCGCTTCACTCAAACTGTGCAATGCCTCAGACCAACCACGGCTACCCACCAGAATCAGTCTGCATGCAATAATATCCCTGCTTGGGGGGGAAACAGAACTTTCAACGCTGGGTATTCATGATGATGATGATTTCAGTGACTGCCCCGTTTGTACATTATGTTCGTCCAAAGGAATAGGTGCTGCTGGCAGACTGATAACAACTTGCTCCTTACACAATAGATAAGCATGTGAGTCACCTCCCTCCTGCCATGAGTCATTGGAAGCATGCACCTCCATCAGTAAAAAGTGGTGTGAGTGGATGTTTGTCTTCCTGTTTATATGCCGTTAATGTGGGTGTTTTTCAATTGTCTCTGTGTGGAGGGCATTCCATAATTTGTGCCACATTTTCATAAACATAATTTCGAGTGGTTCTGCCACTCGGATCACACGTCCGTGTGCCATGTTTGATTTCACACATGGACACATGAAGCCTTAAACTGAATCAGATAAGAAAGACCTTGACCTAAGACCCTGGCTCAGTGGCAGAGCCTCTGCTTGGCATGTAGAAGGTCCCAGGTTCAATCCCCGGCATCTCCAGTTAAAAGGGCCAGGCAGGAGGTGATAGGAAAGACCTTGACCTGAGACCCTGGCTCAGTGGCAGAGCCCCTGCTCGGCATGCAGAAGGTCCCAGGTTCAATCCCCAGCATCTCTGTCAGCAAGCTGCCATAAGGTGATGTGCTACTCATTGTATATTGCCCCATGCTCTGTCCATCCCCCACTTGCTCTTCCTCAGTAGGTGTTTACTGTCTTCTCTTGCTACAACGACGTAACTGCTCAAGGTCGACCAGCTGGTGGTAGGGAGGTGTTATGGCATAGCTTCGCTTATCATGTATCCTCTGCCTGAGAACTAAACTTATGTTTATGGTTAACCTGAAATGGCCTCAGAGAGCCACTACTGGCCCTGTAAACACAAGTTTAGCCCACTGTAAGTTTAGTGTCTATTGGCGCTTGTTTGCTCTTCCATCCCGCCAGCGGGAAATTGGCTCTGTAAACGTAAGTTTAGCCCACTGTAAGTTTAGTGTCTACTCAGACTGACAGTAGCTCTCAGGGATCTCAATCAGATGTCTTTCCTATCACCTACTCCTTGATCTTTTTTTTTTAAACTGGAGGCGCCAGGGCTTGAACCTGGGACCTGCTGAGTGCTAAGCAGAGGCTTTACCACTGAGCCACAGCCTTTCACCACCTGTATACCTGCAACCCTGCCAGCAGCTGAAGCCAGCATTTATTCAAACACACATACTTCATTTGTTGTCCTCCTGAGACTGAAGGTGGATTACACCATGAAAACAATGCAAATTAGGGCAATATCACACATGCCACGAACGAAGCAAGAAAACCGGATTGCGGAATGCAGAACAAGCGGTGAGAATATAATACAGCACAGTTTCCGAACACTGCCTTGCATGTGAAGATACTCAGCCGCTGCAAAGTGTTCTGTCATATTTAAAACCGCACTCTGCTTCTCAAGGTAGCCGACTGGGGTCCCGTTCACACGGAGCTTTTGCCGCACGAAAGATACGGATGATAGGCGGATTTCCCGGGCGTGATCACACCGCAACATCTGGGAAGCGCAGTGCACCCATGGCTAACCCATGGCTTCTTGCCGAAGATGCGGAGTAAAAAACAAGTACATACGATGTGCTAGTTCCCGGAAAACACGGGGCAAGGGCTGGTGTCTGATCACATTTCCACTGGAATCCTGTGGCATCCAGCGCCCGCTCATGTCCCATCGCAAACCGGATTTTTAATTTATTTATTTTTTTAAAAAACCACATCTCCACAGGATGCGCACAAACGCCCACCGGCACATGCGCACACTGTGGTGAGGGGGGGGAAATTCTCATTTGCCACGGAAGCGGCGCCTAGCGATTGCCGGTGTAAATTGGTAATGGACACACTGAGCGGGTTCTGGATCAAATCAAGCCTGGACTCTCCCTAGAAGCCGAAGTGACTAAACTGAGGCTATCGTACTTTGGTCACAAAATATGGCAAAATAAACAATCACGGGTTCGATTGGTACAAGGGAGAAGCAAATCAGAATGTTGATTCTCGGCTCAAAACAGCAGGGATGAGAACTTCGAAATCATACCTCCACTTCTAGTATTCTGATTTCTAATAGGAGAAGACAAGAGTCACTGGAAAAGACGACAATGCTAGGAAAATTGGAAGGCAGCAGG